TATATATATATATATATATATATATATATATATATATATATATATATATATATATATATATATATATATATATATATCCCCTTTTAAAGTGAAATAAAAACTACAGATAAAAGTTAATTAGAGGATAATTATGAAAAAAGTAAAAGATTTTGAACTCCATAATAGCGAAATAATTTACTGCTTGGAAGTAAAATCCGCAAAATGCCCGCTAGCTCATATCGTTTTTCCCACAATATTAATGCATAAAATAAAGTAAGGTTCCCACTGAATGATCAGACGGATTAATGATCCTGGTACAGTAGCATTTTAGCTTGCCAAAAAGGAAAAATAAGAAAAAAGCAAAACTTCACATACTCTTTGGAAAGATTACTGGCTGTATAGCATGCACAATGCCATCAGATCTTCTACCAAGCCCTTCGCCAGTCCGATATCCCATTTTCAACAATAGCTTCATTCCGATACCACGTGTATGCTTTTCCCAGTCACCGATATCGCCAACATTAACATTTCCACGCCTTTCCAACTTATATTCTTCCCATGAAGTTGTTGCTAAATCTTCAGTAGCAACTTCATCTAAAGCAATATGCACAGTCATAGTTCTAATTTAGCTTCCATCAGAAAAAGCTTAAGTCGAATGAGGACATTTTTTCACAATCCAATTTTCCTACTTCTCGCAATAAGACTATGGTTAGAGATGAATTTTACAAGAAAACAACAAGACTAAATGCTGAATCAACCAACAGAACAATACACTACATCATTCCACTAAGAGCTCAGCCGGTAAGAATGTTAAAACAAATGATTGAACGATTAGCGTTTCAAATCTATTTCGCAAAATGATTGCTTAACTCATTCCAGCATGATAGTCAGTTATAGACGGTTCATCAAGTTTTTGTTTGGTTCCAGTACTCACTTAGAACAGTAAGAAATTTAGACTGTTTCAAATAAAAATTTAAGAAATACTAACATTACTTGAGCTTAAAAGATACCTTCATGGTCATCAGCTAGTTGAGGGATTGGATAAATCTTATTTTGATCTACAGCAATTTCTTTTCCAGTAAGGAGTAACCGAACAGCCAGTTTCTCACCATCCATAGCAGTAACCCGAGCACTGCTCCACAACTTATTTTCACCCAATACGAGTAAAACAGAACCTTCTCTTACCATTCTAGATAAATAAAGCACTTTTTTTTCGATCGAAAAAGAATAGAAGAGAAAAAATAAAATAAAATAAAAAAATATATATATAGAAAAGAAAAAATAAAAAAAATAACCTGATTCAATTTTCAATTTATTAGGCAATCTGTCAACGGTAATAATAACGCGGTAAGTTCGTAAACTGTAGTTTATAAACATACGAAATATCTGGCTGTTGATATTCTTGAAGGGCTGAAAACCAAACTTCTTCACCATGTGAAAAACGACACTCATCCCCATAACTACAACGATCATTAAGGAAATATTCGCACGGTTTCATTGCTGCTTCAAGAGGATGACCATATAATACTTTGACCTAAAAGCGTGAAGTAGTAAGAAGGTCGAGCAAATGGAATGCTGTCTAAAAATTTTGGTGTTCCACTTTATCAACAACAAAGTTCATCGATCCACCCAATTTTCAACGCCCTATAGCAACTTTCGTTGTAAGGGAACACTAAAAAAAAAGATTTGTTGAATTTGAAGATACGAAAATTAGTTTAGTCTAACATACCTTAAGGTCGCTCTCTTCCTTATTCGGATTTTCAACAAAATCCAAGATGACAGCGTCGTGGAAATGCACTGCTCGATCAACAGTTCGATAGTATGGTGCAAGACAATGCATTCCAATTAATTGACTGGAATCTTGTACGTTAGCGCTACTGAAAGTTCCATTGAAATCTTGTTTGGTTACCAAAGTTGTTTCATTTTCTGCAATAAAATCAATAGCGATAAGAGAAAGATGAAGGCTTTTCAAAGTCTCAAAGAACTACATAATGCACTTAAAATTGGGTTATACTGATAAAATCATTCGGATTTCGGAAATCAGTCCCAAAACTAAGTAATCCAAACTTGAGCCAACGCTTTCTCATTAACTGAAACTACCAGGGAAGACTATTTAACCAGATGACAGAATAAACGGTACGCCTCGTCCATCGGTATCTAGAACTTTCTCGAGATCTACGTATGCATAAAACACAGCAGATTCGTTGGACTGATCAAGGTCAGTCTTGATTTGAAACTCTTTGCATCTAAAAACTATTAAATCCTTTTTAACATATCAAACTGAGATCTCTTTACCAGTTAAAAGCGTAATAAGCTCTACTAAGTCAGAATGTGAATCCATCAGAGTATTTCTCTTCTGAAGATCCGTACATGTTTCAAGCTCTGCATCAATTTCTTTAAGCTGAAAAGGACAAAATTTTGTACCGAAATCGTTTCACAAGATTTCAAGTAAGTTCGGGATCTCCAGTAAACCTGCGATTAGTAAGACTAACCATTATATCTTTCCGTGCATATTTACATAAGGAATCTCAACTACGTAACAAACAAATCCACATGCAATCATTTGAATAGGCCAGCCTTATTTATCCATTTTCCCTTTCGTGTCAAAATAATGAAAATAAGACAAGGACTATAATTGAAAGAAATTTGCGCTTCGCTTAGAAAAAATTAAGCTATAAAGAAATAATACGTAACAAACCTGCAACCGATAACCCTCCAGTTCGCTTAGTTCCATGATAATTCCTGACAACAATATCAATTCCCACTTCAAATACAAAATGTAAGGACATTCAAAAATCAATTTGTTATAATCATCATTTTAGAAATTACTTAAGCTAAGACCATTCAATTTCTGACATGGAAAGTAATGTAATGAGCGCTTACGACATCGTATTCGCCATACATTTTTGCAACTCTGTGTACAGCACTTGATACTGTCAAATCAATGCATGATAATGAAGTGACAAACATTATATACTTCGAATTACAATAATTCAACGTGATGGCAACATGAAGTAAACTGTTCAAGTTAACTTTATAACAAATTCAAACTCCCAGTTCAAAACTGAAACAAAACTTTATCAAACGCAAACAGTTTTTGAAACTACATATATATATATATATATATATATATATATATATATATA